AAATTCATTTTCTTTTTGCATTGCATTTTAAAACTTCTTTAAAATTAACTAATCGACTAGTTTGCTTAACATTTTCTTTTTTTTTTTTAAGCTTTCAAATTGAAAGTTTTAATTGTCATGTTTGTTGTATGCTTACTCGTTAACGTTTAGGGGAAACAAATTCTAAGTTCCAAAGGCTTAGTGTTGTTTAGAACCACATTTAACTAGTAATATTTAGCCCATTTTTGTTTAGGAATTGTTAAAAACTCTTTTTGTTTAATCATGAGAAAACATTCATCAAGTGGTAGTGACTTAAGCTCTCCAAAAAGTTTTTCACATCCTACTCAAGAGCTTAAAACACTAAATTTTGGAAAAAGAAAGAAATGTTAGAAAAAGAAAAAGAAAAAGTTTAAAGAAAAGTACGACTTGCAATTTTAGAGGAAGAAATTAGCATTATTAAACAAAAGGATGAAAAACTTTTGGAAAAAATAAAATTGAGAAAAGAAAAGGAAAAAGAAAGAAAAAAGACATTTCTCTTGAGAAAGAGTAAAGAGGAAAATATTTCATCTAAAGGACTTGTGAATGAAGAGAGTTGTTCTATCACTAAAACCCATTTGCAAAATACTTTCTTCCTAATAAAGACCTTAACTATTGCCCTTATGCTACCACTAGTCATGAAGTAGAGATTCTAGAACAAAATATTTTAAAAGAAAAAGAATCTGAACTTCAAGATGTAGTGAAGAAGGAGTGCACTACACTTAGTTCAACTCCTTGTGCTACTTCCTTGGAGGTGCCCAAGGAAGATAGCCCTCCTCTCTTTAGGACTCCTTCCACCAGTTGTTCTAATAAAGCACCCAAGTTTTGGTCTATATTATTTGATAGATACATCTCGTAATGCCTTATATTCTACTTTTGATCTTATGGGAAGTTTATCTTCACTTGAATTTAAATTGATTACTTCCCTACAAGACAAATATAGGTTATATGAGTCTTCAAAACTCTGTTTGACACTAATTTCTCATGACTATCTAACAAACAATATGGTCCAAACTTGTTTAGGCAGTTTTCTAGTAGTATTTTCTTTCTTTTCTAGGGAATGCCTAGGTCATTATCTATGATACCTTAGGCAAGATGTTTTAGTTTTTAGGGAAAACCTTTTCAATTGCTTTAGTCTTAATTTCACCACATTTCTAGGTTTTAGCTACACACATAGACTTTGTTTAGGTAAGGATCCTACCCCTAACCTTAGATGATTCCAAAATTATATTCCCAGAGCCGCATATGGGTACACCTTGACCATTCGCAACTGTAATAAGTTGTTCTTTATTCCTTTTAATATATGATTTGAAGATCATACGAAAAGGTGTCATATGATCAGTTGCTCCTGAATCAAGAATCCAAATATCTTGAGACACAGGTCCCATAGTATGGAGAGAACTCTTACCTTTCATGACAGAGTACATGGTCCAGAAGGCTTACTTATTGATTCAATCATTACTTTCAAACGATCTAGTTCCTCTTTAAAAGCTTTCATCTCAAAAATATGATGGTGGTAACGTAATGGATTGATTCGGCGACTCTGTCTGTGGCGACAACGATGAGTGGGCTACACTGGAAAAGGAGCAAAAACTCAAAAAACTCAGATCTACTAAAATCTAGGCCAAATGAGACGTCACCGGCCTGTGGAACGGACTTAGGAGGCTCCGACGACCGGTTCTATGACAGCAGCGGCGAGTGGGTCTCGCCGGAGCTAGGCACATGGGATGTCACCAGAAAAGGAGAAAAACTCAAAACTCATATCTACTCAAATTTGGGCCAAATGGGACGTCACCGACCCGTGGAATGGACTCAAGAGGCCCTGGCGACTCTTTCTGTGACGGCGGCGACGAGTGGGTCTCGCCGGAGTTAGGCGCGTGAGCTACACGCACCGGCGACAATGGCGGCGCGTGGCGACGTATTTCTCAAAGCGAATTTCGACGTTGTGTTCGCCGAAGTTGGGCGCACCTTTCTGCCCTATCAACGACCCTACGGTGGCAGCTGTAGTGGCCGGACAGCGGGCGGCGATGGCTATTGTTGCAGCAAAAACGGAGCTCCCAAGATCGGATGCTCTGATACCAACTAGAAAAGGAGAATGATTTTATTATTATCATTCATACATATTACATTTTCCTAACACCTATTTGTAACAATCTAATCTTCCAAAATAAGGAAATAAGGAAAAAATATTCTGAAAAATAAACTATAATATTCTACAGATATTTTCTCTAATTAGGAAGATTTTCCTCTAATTACAACAATATTGATAAAATCACTACCATCAATCAGATTATCCATGGTTAAATTTGTATCACATCACAAAATATGATTATCAAAGCAAAATGTACCTTTTATAATGTGATCTTGAGAGCAATGAAGATGCATAATCTAAATTCCAACTTTTGTACAGCCTACTTCAACATTAACTGGTATCAGATTATGCAAATGCAGCATGTTCAACAAGGTTGGTATCTCTCAAATGCTAGATTAGACAGTCAAGCAATGAATACTTCTACCGGTTTCCCACTTATTTTATCTCCCAAGGCAAGATAATTCATTTCTAAACATCTCCCATTCAGCGTGGTAAACAATCTGCCTCCATAAGGACACATAAGGTAATTCCCCAAAGTTAAGCACTCCATATTGGCTTTTGACATCATCATTGTTATAATTAGCAAATAATACACTTAAATACAATCTTAATAAATAAAAATGAGCAAATACCTGAAAGTTATCCAAAAGTGAATTTTTAGTGTCATCAATCCTGCTCCTTGAGATCAAAGAATTAGCTAAAGGTATTATCCTCGGATGTGCCTGTAATTGTATTCACTTTCAGCTTCGATGATGATCTCAAACTCAGGCCACACGTTGCTTTCAACTGTATGGTAATGATATCAAAATGTGAACTAACAAAAAGCTAAATAGTCAGTGTTGAAAATTTTTATACAGTAACTTTCAATGACATGTTTGTGTTTTATCTTACAAAAATGTCAAGCATGTTACAGTTTCTTAGCAGATACAAATTTAAATATCTTGTCACATTCATTCCTTTTAATTCATGATTAGATTGTTATACATACGCAACACAATATTATAATTAATTTTATCGGTTTTTTCACTTCATCTAAAAGTGACCAATATTTTCATCATCAACAAGAAGCAAATAAAATCTTAAACCACCATGACCTTTATGAGACTCTAATGAGGTGCGGTTTCATCTGCTGGCAAGCAATTTTATGCTGAGTGCCAACTCACGACCAGCATGTTGAAAGAGAAAAAGAACCATAGAGTAATCAAATTTAAGGAGAGAAAACCAATGGACACATTTAAGCAATTCAGCTATCTGGTATTTCTAAGAGCAATACCGTGCTTGTCTGCAACTACTACAGTGCTTATCTCCTTCCAAGGTATCACATCAGTTACAAACAGCAGCTAAAAGAAGAGACTATTAAAATAGAGGTAGATTTGGAACAATTTCATTTTGATTTCATAGATGTGCATAAGTTTACTCTTAAGACTTGAGTCATAAAAAGTGCTAATCCTCTTGTCCTAGTGGGCAAGCTGGCCATATATTAGTTATATGTTAAATAAAAATAACTGTAGAAATAATGTGGAAAATCACAACAATAACAATACGACTTGAGCAGCTTGTTCAGTGTAACCAAATTAAGTTTGAGATTGAAATTTAACGTTGTATTTATCTTTTCCTTGATAAAAGCATGGTGTCACTATGAAGTAGTAACAAAAAAAAGGATAAAATACAATCATTCTAACTAAAATACAACAATGAGACAATTATGAGTAAAAAGAAACATAAATCTAAACACAAACATGATTAAGAAGGTCTGCAAAGAAAGATCCAAACAGAAACAACTTCCAGCAGGTCTGTGTCTGTCTCTCATTATAATCTCAAAAGTCAAAGTCTGACAGGCTTGCAGGTGGCTCCATGTGATCAAACATGTCCACTTAGAAATCATCAAGTTATCTTTGTAGGACAAGAGACCTAAAATCTACAAAAGGCCAGAAAAATAGTGTGGCAAGAGATAACAAAATAGTTAGCCCAGCAAGAGTTTCATTTTGAACAAGTGACCTAAGATATATCACTGCAGAATCACAAAAAGCCTAGTTTGTCTTCAAAGCTTTGACAGGAAATATCCGATACCACGTCCATTACAGAAACTATAGTTCAAGGTGCGTAATTGGTTTATCCATTAGTAGTCATAATGCCCAATCCCATACATGAACTTCAATTATTTAAGAATGTTTTTGTAGAAACACCCTAAGATAACCTTTATACGATAGAACTTACGTCTGCTATGCACATATTCTTATTGACTTCCTCCGTTAACAAGTTCAAATTAGGGTAGGATTTAGGAGGCATTGCAATACTTCAAATGACAAAGATTATTTTCATATTCTAATACAAATATGAGAAATTCTACGGTATTCACATAAATTTGATGGGCTTTGAAAGTATTAATTTTTAAATTAATAATAATTAATTTCTTATTTAATTTTTTATTATGTTACAGTTTTGCACTTGTATCAAGTAGTTGGTTAAAAGTATTGAAGACATTTGAAATTGGTGAACAAACAAAATAGAAATTAGACCTCTCACCTTTTATTAGATCAAATTAAAATAACACATTTTTTAACTTCAAGTTTCATAGGTCTTAAATTGTATTTTCACACTTTTATTGAATAATTAATATGTCATAAGAAAGTGGTTGAAATGTGAAGAAAAAAATCATATGAATGTGAAGCATATAATTCAATGTCAAAAAGAACTCTACCAAAACACTTTAATTTATAAGGGCACCGTAATAACACCCTACAAATAATTGAAATGTGTACTTTATCCATGGAAAATTGTAACGACCCGGCTGGTCACTACACACGGTATAGCACACTAGAAACACCAGACAGATAGAACAAGTATATAAATATAGGATCTAGAATATATAAATATACAAAGTTCCAGTCTGACCAGAGTTAAAGTGTACAGATAGATACATCATTCAATTGCTACACCTAGTAGCCAAACAACACCAAAAGACCAACATCCCGAGAGGGTTAGCTCCAACTGCCAGCTACCGCCCAACTACCAGTCTCCGACCTATTCTTGTTCTGCTCCCATACATAGTATGATCATTGCAGTCCAAACATCAGGGAAACAACAAAAGGTAAGCTAGTGTAAATAAATCAACATACAATAGAATCACAATGTAAATTTTGACTCAGCTCTATCTATTAGCTCATCGAACAGCTTGTATCATACCACAGCATTCAACCATTTTCAGCACTGCATAGCAGCAATAACAACACCACTCTAGTGGCTATACAACAGCACCGCGTAGCGGCAATAACAGCACCCCCTTTTAGTGGCTAACTACGACCCCGGTTCAACGGCTAGAACAGCACCACCATAGTGGTCATACACAGCATACAACTTAGTAAATATACAACACAGCACACCAATGGTATGAATCAGCATTCAACAACATCGCTAACCTCCCATTTCATTACAACAATGTACATCAAATTCCAGCGCGATTCGACTTAAAGAAACTATCTTAGTAATTTTAGCAAGGTCTATCATCTAAGAACACCTCAAGTCATCAGCCTAATGCACGCTCGGCGCGCTCAAGGGCGCGCCCAGCGCTGCTCATTCAGAGAGCATCAGGGGACATCGCGCCCAGCGCAAGTCGTCCCCTGCCCAGCGTGGCTCCTTGCGCGCTTAGCGCAATTGAGAATTGCACCCAGTGCTTGCCAGACAGAGACTCCATGGAGTCTCGCACGCCCAGCGAGCCTAGCCCTGCGCCCAGCACGGGGAAGGCAGAGACTTCCCCTTGGTCTCGCGCCCAGCGCAAATCAAGTTGCGCCTAGCGCCCTCCCGGCAGAGACTCCCATAGAGTCTTACGCCCAACACGACTAGGGTCGCGCTTAGCGCAGAATCACCACTTAAAATATTGCTTGCACGCTCGGCGCGGTCCCTGTCCCGCCCAGCATGGGCCAACCAGGGGCTTACCCTCTCAAGCTCGCCCGGCGCACACATCTTTGCGCCTAGCGGGCTTGACAAAAAGGAGCCCCCAGGTGGTCTCGCGCTCGGCGCGAAGAACCACGCTCAGCGCGAGGTTCATTAGCAACCCACCAAGTTCGAAAAACTTAACCAAAATCCTGCAAAACAGCCAGAAGACCCACATGCAATCCACCCAAAAGTTCCATTTTTCAACAAAGATCATAAAAACACTACCTTTTCATACATGCAAACACAAACAAAGAAGTTCTCAAAATTTCCCTCAACACCCCGAAAACCCCCAAAGCACCACTTTCAGCAATCTCAACCAAGACCCAGTTAATCATTAAAGGACAAAGGAATTTCGGAATCCATTACAGCCAAAAACAGCAACTATCTAGCTTCCCTTACCTCGGTTTGAAGAAATCCGAGCTTCGGGAAGTGGAAGGAGAAGAAAAGAGGATCCGCACACGACTTGCTCCGAACAGCTTCAAGTTGGAGAGAATGCACCTCCTTGATCAGTCACAGCTTCCGGGAATAACACAATGAGAAGAAGAGATGAAGAGGAAGAGAACTCCACTCGCGTTCAGCTCCGAACGACTTCAAGCTTGCAAAGAAGGGTCTCCAAGGTCACACACGATCTCAGCTAGAAAGAAAGGAATTCGAATCAGGGTTAAGGCTTGAGAGGAAGAAGGATCAGCAACCCCAAAAATGCAAAAGAGAAGTGCAAGTGAGTGAAGAAGGGGAAAGGAGGAAAAGAGTTACGGGGTCTCACAAACATTCTGTAGTTTCAATTTAACGTTACATCCAAATTGGAATGAAGCATGTGTTTACATGAAAGTGTAAGCTAACATATTTGGGAAACAAGAAAAGTCGAAGATGCTATGAATCACAATATATTACAAGTTATAACAGCTAAGAAAAGTCAAACACCTGCTTTGGTGCAAGATAAACCACTACACAATACTTAACAGTAATCTCGGTCTCAGGCACGGCACTGCAGTAAGAGAAGACACTTCCTTGAAGAACCAGTTCTAATCAGAAATTCAGCAGCATTAACAACTTCTCAAATCAACCAAATACCACCAGTGAAATTTGCTGGTGCTGATCCCTGAGAAGGCACTTCATGGAAGGACACATGAAATCAAATGGGCATCTGGTGAAATGCACTTTCCTTCTTTGTTGATGCAAAAACTTAGCAGTTCCAGGGTTTAATACAATTTATCACGATCCACTAGTATAACACAAATCATATGCACATCAAATAATAGTATGACGCATTGGCTTCATACCTGAAGCAGGAATTTTAAAGGGTCTCCACAAATATCACTCACAGATCACATAACCATCAAAAATAGAAATTGTTCATTGATTTAAGCAAAACATAAGAAAATTCAAAGCAAATTTCTGCACGAACTTAAATTCTTTGTGCTTTGAAGATATCCTTATTAACATCCTTTGTTAACAAGATCAAAACATAATAAAAAAAATCCTTTGTTAACAAGATCAACATATGACACCTGATATGTAAACTTTATCCATGAAGATCTCATAATTTCAATTTAACGTTACATCCAAATTGGAATAAAGCATGTGTTTACATGAAATTGTCAAGCTAACAACATATTTGAGAGAAGTAAAGGGTAAGAAAAGTCAAATGAATATGCTATAAATCACAATACAACTGACTAAGAAAGAGTCACGTACGAGTGCAACATCAACCCCTGCGCACAACTTATTAGTAACCAGAGACTCAGGCACAGCAGTGCAGTTAGAGAAGACACCTCCTCGAAGAACCAACTCTAATTAGAAACCCATCATTATCACAGCTTCTCAATCAACCTAACCATGAAGGAATTCACAGCAGAAGCATCCAGCACAATCCACGACGATTCAAACAACTCATGGAAGAACTGAGTCCCAATCTCCTCCGCTGCAGTCCTAAACGCAATTCCAAACGCATTCCCCCGAGCCCCAGCCAAACGCGGCCTCCCACAAACCCCCACAATCAACACCTTCCCAGCCTCCTGAGACAAACAAGCACAAAGCAAAGGCTTCATCGTCGCCCCCTTCTCTTTCAAAGCATCCATGAGAAAATAACAGAACTTGGTCAACGCCTGAGGGTACCCCAACAACTTGGCATCACGCGAATCCTCCAACTTCAACCACCGAAAACTCCTCCCACTCCTTATGCACCCACTCTTAGTAATCGCAGCACTCCCTTGCCTCAAAATTGCCCTCTGAATCTTAATAGCATCCTGCATCCCTTTTTGCAGCTCCTTATTAATATTATCCAAAGACAACAACGCATCATACGCCTCACCAAACTTCTGAGAAGCGCAAGAACCATCCGATTTCACAAAAGACTCGAGCAAAGCGGTGACACCAAACACCACATCCGCAGCAGAAACCCTAGAATACCTATAAACCCTCATGAAACTCCTGTAGTAAAAATCAGTGAGTCCATACTCAGGCAAAAACCTCTCAAACTCCTGCTTCATCTTCCTCTTCACCTCCACATTCATGTACTGAAACTGCTGCTGGCAATCCGCGAGCGCAAACCCCATCCTCCCAAACAAAAGCTTCAGCTTCTTCACCCCGTTCTCGCTCCACGTCTTCAGCTTAGTGGCAATGTACGACGAGCACATCATGGAGTCGAAGAGGTTCCACTCCTGCAACAGCATCAACCTCGGTTGATCCTCGTACGTGATTCGCGACGAATTCGGAGCGCGAATTTTGGTACCGTCCTTGAGCGTAACCGAAGTCGGCGCGTCCAAGTTCCCGGAGCTGTTAATATGCTGCTCGAGCTCCATCACGCCGTCGTGGTACCTCTCCTCGCTGAGCCTCTCGTGCACGAATTGATCCGTGAGCGAAACGCACGCGAGCCAGAGCAACTCGTTCGTGTTCCTCCGCAGAAAGTGAGCGAGCTCGTACATCAAACACCCCGAGGGTTTCCCGTGGAACGTTCCCAATCGGTAATAGTCCTTCTTCAGTTTTCGGTACAGTTTAATTGGATCCTCTTCGGGGTTCTTCCTTCTCCTCTTTCGAGATCCATCTCGTTCGGATTCCGCCTCGGAGTCAGACTCAGATTCGGATTCCGATTCGGATTCGGATTCGGATTCGGAGTTTTCGTTCCCGGCGTTGGCGAGCGTGGTGAGGTCGAAGTCGTAGGCGAGATCCGATTGTTGCTCGTCGTCTTTAGTGAAGAGGACCGTGACGGCGTCGTTTCGGTCGCTGAGGTTGCGGAGGTGGATTGGGCGGTGACTATCGACGACGAAGACGCGCGCGTTGGGGCTGAGGTTGAGCGTTTTGCGGAGGTCTCTGTGGTTTCCCCAGTTGACCAAAACGACGGAGAGAGGGTGGTCGTTGGAGGCGGAGGAAACGTATTTGTGGATCTCGTGGAAAGACGAGACGGGGTAGCATGCGTATTGGATGGAGTCGGATTGGAGGATGTGGAGGATGATTTTGAGGGCGCAGAGGGAGTCGACGTCGGAGGTTGAGGGGAAGATGAGAACCGGAGAGGAGGAAGAGGATGACGTGGCGGACTGGCGAAGCTTGGCGTAGAACGACTCCACTCGTTGCTCTCTCATAGTGTTGCTGCTAGGGCGTGTTTGGGGGCTGTGTGACTGAGGAAGATGGGAATGTCATGAGGGTTGGGGATTTTCAAATTCTCAGGATGCTGTAATGTAACAAAACAAAAACTCTGTTGGGTTGGGTTTCAACTTTCAACTTTCAACTTTCAACTTTCAACTTTCGGATTCGAATTTCGAACTCAAAATGAAATTTTGAATTTTTAAGAAACGCGCGCCGCGAAAATTTTGTCGCTCTTTCGCGTTATTCGGATGGCACGTGTTGGATTTGATCGAATCGAATGAGCATGTGCGGGAGGGAGGATATGGTGCGGGGAGGCGTATGGTATGCTATGGTGAGGTGAGGTGAGGCAGTGCGTGACGACGTGACATTCGGGTGGGATGATTGATTATTACGATTTCTTTCTTTTTTTATGCATGAAAAATCCTAATTATTTATTAGGATTTCTTTTGTTTCTATCCTTGGCTTGCTGCTTATTTATGATTTCTTCGTCTCTCGTTTTTTGGATTTATAAAAAAATAAAAATAGAATATGATAATTTTGAAAGTTAAAAATTAAATTAATTAAGAACACTATAAATCTCAAATTAAGATAGATTGGGGTGGGAAAACTATAGAGATCAGAAGAAAAAAGAAAACGGTTGAGAGAGAAAACTACAGATATATATAATAAACGATGTGATTAAAATAAAATAGAGAAAACGAGATGAAAAAATAATAGATGGATTATGTTCTGTTATGTTTGTTTCGTTTAGCTCAATTGAAATTAAAAATATTTTTTTATTAGAATGAGAAATAAAAAGAAGAAAATAACAAAAAAAAACTAGCCTTTCTAAAACACGGTCTCTAGAGAGTCAGTTAGTAATAAACTAGAAAGAGTAAAAAAAAATTATTTTGTATTATTGATATTTATAACATAAAGGTTAAATATTTATTATATAATTAAAATTAAAAATAAATTATGTATAGATTATTAATAGATAAAGAGAATATTTCTTCCCATAATCATTTTTTATCTTTACAATTATGGATGATTATTATATCCTTAATTTTTAAGAAAAAAAGGAATATTTCTTCCTGTAATCGTTTTTCTTTTTCATAATTGTATATGATTATCCTCTTAATTTTTAAGAAAAAAAATATTTTTAATAATTGTCATTAACCAATTATAAATAATCGCTCATGTTATTATATTTTTTATTTTACTTTTAAAAATATTTAAAGACACGAAGTATTTTTTTTCCTTTATTGATAAATAAATATTATATTTAAAAGCATCTAGAGGTACTATGTAACGACCTGTCAAAGGCCGTCACATTGCGCAACACACAACTAACTACACATATATATATGAAACAGTAATATAATATAAGCACATCTATATCTCATAAATATGTACCATTATGTTGCTTGTCCAGCAACTATATACAAACATGCTAAAAAGTTAAGTATTGTGAAATAAAATTCTTAAGAGGCCAAATATGAGTGGTTCGTAAAGACCAAATTTGCTACGTCTATAAAATTTAATAAAATAAAAAATAAATATTTAGCGACCGATTTATTCGGTCATTAATTTGGTCTCATACACTTCAGCGACCAAAATCATTGTAACCATTTTGCGATCGAAATTTTTGGTCATTTTTCTGTCGCTAAACAGCTTAGCGACCTGGGTTTTAGTGACTGATTAAATTCCGTCACTAAGGTAAATAACGATCGATTTTAGCAATTTAGCGACCGATTTTGGTGGTTGCTAAATTGCATATTTTTTGTAGTGTATGTGGCAAAATTTCAAAAACCTGGACTGGCACATGTACATATCTTATTGATCTTAGAAAGTAATGACAAATTACGTGAGCTAGAAGATTATGATAGCCTGGCGAGGGAAAAAATATCAAAAATTGAAGATGAACCACAATTACATGAGGTTGTACTAAAGCACATGATTAATAGACCTTGCAAAACTTGCAATCTAAATTCTCCACGTATGAAGAATTGTTAGTGCAAAAGAACGTATCCAAAACAATTTTACCAAAAGACACACTAAGGTAATGACTCATATCTACAATATAGAAGATGATTTAACCAACTAATATCTATTAATAGAAATGTGACTATTTATAATAGATAGGCGATTCCTTATAATCATTGGTTACTCTTAAAGTATAATTGCCATATAAATGTTGAAGTATGTAGTAGCATCAAAAGTACTAAATATTGATATAAATGTCTACAAAGGCCCAAATCGAATAGCAATGGAGGTTCGTAGAAGTTCAAATGGAGATGAGGTTCAACAATATATTGATGCAAGATGGATTTGTGCCCCAGAAGATTTGTGGAAGATATTTAGATTTACTCTTTATGGAATATACTCATCTATTGAAAGATTACAAATTCACTTACCAAATCGTCATCAAGTGCGATTCTACAAGCATCAAAGAATCATAAATGTTCTAAACAATGACCATAACTCCAAAACAATATTGACATAGTTCTTTATCTCTAAAGCACAGAGATCCAAATTAAAGGAGTTACTTGTATAGAGAGATTCTAGAATATTATTGTTAGCAAAGGGGGGATAAGGAATGGTACAGAATTACATTTGAATCAAATATTTGTGAATTTGTAAGGGACTATAGTTCTTATAGGAAACTCTTCATTTATAGAATAGAGTAAAGATTGATGTTAATTGTGTAAATATGTGAAATTGATATTAGATTTGAGTAATTGAAGGTATATAAGTGTTTTAGAGGTGATTTGAGAGTGTTTCACCAATTTATTTTGGATTGAATTCAAGAAATGGTTTGGGGAAAGTTAGAAACTCAAAAATCATAGAACTTTATGATCTAGATTGTCATGACTCACTTAAGTGAATTTAGACTTGCTAAAGCAAGTTTAGGACAAAGAATTTTGGGTAGGAGCTCGCTTAAGTAAAATTAGCTCATTCAAATGAATTGAGTGTCTCGCTCAAGAGAAAGAATGACTCACTTGAGTAATTATATAGTTGAATTAGCATTTGTGGTCTTCATGAAAGTTTTAGACCTAGATTTTATCTTTCAATTGTTGTTAGAATCATCCAAAAAGTAGGTATAGAACTCAAGTTATAATCAAATTATTGAGCAAAAGTCAAGTTGTCAATTTTAGGTCAAAAAGACACATTTATGTAATTTTTAAAAATAGTAAAAGGTAAAATTAACTTGTCAACATAGAAGTTGTAGATAATTGTCTTATATTTTCAATAAAATTGAGATGAACTTTTTATCATATGTATAATTCCAGATACCGTGTTTAGACCTCACAATATCATAAAAGCTTAAGATAAGTAGAAACGGTTTGTGAATTATGTAACATCCTGAATTTTCTACTAGTATAATTGGTTAATTATTGTTTATTTTTATATTTATGGAGGTTATTTTCATATAGATATTTTAATGACTTTTATAGAATGTTTTAAAGGATTTTTAATAATTATTAGTATTTTAATAATGAATATTTATGAAAATTATTTTTGTAATATTTTAATTTTTAGTAGCCTAGAACGGGCTGTTCTCAAACTAAAACGGGTCGTTCCAAACTACGAAAATGGCCTATAAAGACTATGTTGGAACGGGCCGTTCCAACACAGAATTTTACGAGTAAAACTCAAACCCAGAACGGGCCGTTCCGATTTGGGAACAGGCTGTTCCAATCATGACCATTATGGGTAAAATGTAAATTTAGAACGAGCTGTTTTAGTTTTGGAATAGGTCGTTCTGGATATGAAATTTACGCATGATAAATGATTCTAGAACGGGTCGTTCCGGATTCGAAACGGGCCGTTCTGGCCACATCTGATGCCTATAAATAAAACGTTCTGGCACTCCAAAATGCATTTTTTTTCACTTCTGTCCTCTTTTTTCTTCTACACTCTCTGAAGACTCGGGGGAACCTAGAGGAGGAAGACCAGCAAGATTCGACTTTAGTTTCAACTCCTTATCGAGGTAAGGGGGAGTGAGAAACCTTGCATTGGGTGTGGGAATGTATGTTGGGTAGTGGGATTTGCCTCCGATCCTATGTTTGTTGTATGCTCATGTATGAGGGGGTTTTCCCAATTGTATCTGTTTCATTTATTGTTCCTCTTGTATGTAATTAATTGTATGATTTGAGATTTTTGTGGGTTCTTACAAGAAACCCTATGAGAAATAGACAAATTTTGCATGTTATCTAAATATAAATGTATAATTTTGAGATCTCTATGGGTTCCTATGAGAAACCCTAAGGGAATGAATTTGTAATTTTAACAGGCAAAATGTGAATGTTTTCTGTTTCGCTCTCTGATTCCTCTATCGTGTTCCTTGCTGAATGAGATGAACGAATATGTGTTTAATTTTGAAAATAAACAAGTTTTGATATGAATTAGAGTACTCCGTGGGTTCCTATGGAAACCCTATGAAAAATAAACAAATTTTAAATGTTTTCTGTTTTATCCCCTGAGTTTTTTGTTGTGTTCCTTGATGTTTATGGAGTGTAAATATGTGTTTAATTTTGAAAATAAACAAGCTTTAATATGGATTAAAGTGCTCTGTGAAAATTGTGAATGACATGTGATAATGTGATATGGTAATGAAATATGATGATGAAACGTGATGATGAAATGTGATGATGAAATGTGATATGATAATGAGACATGATAATATGATATGAGAAAAGCATCGCGTCTTGATTGACATGCATCATGTGCATAAATGTTTTTAAGGGTACGATATGGAATACACCGCTAGAGAAGGCCCCCTAGTGTAAAAGCTTTAGGGTTTAGTCCTTGGGGATAGCTCGATTTGTAAGTCTCAGTCTTGCCCATTGTGTGCATGGGATGTATCTTGCGCGGCTTAGCTATCCCAACGAGACTCTGGTAGTATATCCTTCTAGTGAGAGTGCGTAGAAGGTGTGACCCAGCATGTACTCCTAGACTACTCTTCGTGTATTGCTAGCGACAATATGCCATGTGATATGTTACTGGTGCCACATGCATGATAAAATGTAGTTTGTGTCCATACATGTACATTTTAATGTTATATGAAGAATTGATATGTCTTGGATGAATGAGATGTGATGTTATTATTAAGTTATCTATGTTATACCTGCTTTGTTTGTGTTTGGCTATCCGGCGTATATTTCTACACTGTGAGCCAGAGTGAGATGTTTCTCACTC